CATGCGGAGGCAGTGGAAAACGTTCAAGCAGCGAAGGAACGGTGTGCTGTGAAGAAAGGAGTTGTGCAGATGGAGTAGAGGAGAGAGAAGGAGTGGAGGGTGGATCAGTGTCCATTGATGGTTTGGTCTTTGCAATATATTCAGAGATTGCTTCAAGTGTTTCAGAATTCAGAGACGTCGTATGGGAGACAATTTTGGGAAAAAGGGTAGGGGGGATGAGAAAAGATTGGAACTGTAATGGACTGTACCAAGGTAGGGGGGGGGCAAAAAGGTGGAAGGAACTGGAGAAGCATGGAAGGGGACAGAAGAGGTAGAAACCTGGGAGATGCCAGAAGAGGAAGAAACTTGGGAGGGAACAGGGGATGAAGGTACAGTACGAGGAGGAGGGTGAACCTCTACACTTGCAACAGAGCCAGTGAGAGGGAAAGAACCAGGTACAGAGACAGGAAAGGTAAAATGAGGAGGTGGATGATGGGTAGGAGGTGTTAACGGACCTTTTTTTTACTTTTGAGAAGTAGAGGGACGATTGGGAGGGGTGTTTTTACGAGATCTCGTCACTACTGAGGCTTGTGAGGGAGAACACGAAGAAGCGAGATCAGACTGAGGCATTGAAGTAGGGACGTCTGAGCCTAGGACAGCAAAAGCATTAGATACAGGAGTGACTTTGGGAGAGGTAACTACAGAGGTGGTTGTAGAAGATGGGATCCCAGAAGTGGGGGGACTTTTTTGAAACACGGGAATAAGAAACACGAGGTAGTCTCCCTTGGAGGCGGAGATGAGAAACTGCCATGGCATAAGGGAGACCTTCTGCCATTTGAGGTAACAGATTTCCCGCTCGTTTAAATAGACTTGACAACGGCGAGAGTACGAAGGGTGAGCCTCATGACAATTAAGGCAAGAGGTAGGTCGATTGCAAGATGTATTAGAATGGTCATCGGCACCACAGATGGGCATTGGGCGTTAGATCTGCAATATTTCGCTGGTGGCCAAATCGCCAGCAATTTCTACACTGTTGCGGTGTAGGGATCACCTTTTGAACTTGTAACCGATGTCCTGCTACATAGACTGAGGATGGGAGTTCACGGCAGTCAAAAGTTAAACGAGCCACATTGCTAGGGTTTTCGTCTCTGCCGCGGGCGGGAAGAAAGTAAGCGTCTACCTTGAGGATTGGGAGATCTTGGAGTTCCAGCTTTTTCAAGAATGTCAGTGCCACATGTCTGGAAATTTCGTTGAACTATGGTATGGGGCAGAATGACGGTACCACTACAAGAATTGAGGGAATGATGTTTTTCAATAGTGACGGGAAAACGTATCGAATGGGAAAGACGAGAAAGCTCATGAGCCTGGGTAGCATTCTGTACGGTGTGATGCATTACCGGCCTTAAGAGCATGAAAAGAATATCTTTACCAACATGGCATAGGAGTGCCTTGCCAATACTGTGGTCAGAAAGATAGGCAGTAGAGGAAGTTGGTCGTAAAGTGAAGAATTTAGTCCATTGTGCAGTCTGAAACTGAGCGTGGAAAGGTAGTGAAGGAACGTGTCCCATCCTTTCTGAGAAGAACGAGAAGGTGGAGAAGTATCATCAGCAGGTAATTGTCATTGGCGTTTAGGCGTAGGACCAGAGTTGGGGGGCGACGTGGAACGGGCCGGCGATTCGAAAATTGCCGCACCGTAGAGGGAGAGGCCGGAAGCATAGTCAGAGGAGAGCGAAGGTCAGTTAAATCGAAGGAGTCAGTCGAGGCCTCAGTACCTGAAGCGGGGGAGGAAACAGCACCGGCAAGAGGTACAGAGGCATGAGGGTGTCCGAAAGAGTGGTCCAAAGATGAGGTGGGGGGCAGAACGGGTGCGGTATCAAGAAGGGGCCCGGGGGTAGCAGGTTCATGGACTAGGGCTGCCATGGTTAGGTTACTTCTTTCTTTTTGTTTTTAAGAAAAAAAAAGAAAGAAGAAAAGGAAATAAATTAAAAAAAGGATAAAAAAAGGGGGGACCGGGGGGGGATAGTACCTAGGAGGAAAGAAAAGGGCAGAAATTTTCCCTCTGCACCCAAGAGGACCTCAGCACTGCAAGTAGCGCAGATGCAGCATGGAACCCGTGCCATACCCTACCCATCATGCCAGTAAACCGGCAATCCGGGATAGCAACCTCACATCTGCCGAGCTACCTCGGTGGACAAAAGAGAGGGCAGCCGGAAATCCGCCACAAAAACATACCTCCTTTGGCCACCACCCCTGGAATCCAAAAGGTGGCTTCCAGAGATACACCCATCGCCCGAGAGACACCCAAAGCCACCCACCGGGATACCAGAGAGGGATCAGGACATCCCCAGGCAATCCAGATTCCACGGCAAATTACACCACCGCCAAGAACCTCAACGGAATGGGATGGACCCCAGTACCCTTTCCCCTACCTAGGAACTAGCGTGCCTTTGGGGGAAAAAAAAAAACAAAGGTCAAAAAGGAAGGGCAAAAGGGAGGGGTAGGGAGGAGGAGGAGGAAAGGAAAAAGGGGAGGATGGGGAGGATGGGATAGGGAATGGGGGATTGGGGGGTAATTAGGTTCAGTCTGAGGAAGGAGACCGACAGGTCTAATTCCTCAGACCAAGAGCCTCTTCATCACGCCAAGGAGCCCCCCTTGAAGAGGGGGAAATCCATTGTCTTCCCTATTGAGCAATCTTTATATGGAGTTTTTCGAGGTTAGGCTGTTGAAAAACTTAATACCTTGTAAAGCTAACTGGTTCAGACATGTGGATGTCATCTTGTATTTTTGGCCATATGATGTGACCCTGGATATATTTCTACCTTAACTCTCGGGACCCGTCTTTAAAATCACTCTGGATAAAGAAGTGGAATCTAACCTTCAAATCTTAGATGTGTTGATACATTGGGTTGAAAGAAAGTTCAAGTTCACAGTATATAGGAAGGCCACTAATATGTGATCATACATTTATTCCAACCATGAGACAAGAGTAAAAAGGAGTGTCTTTCTCACTATGTTAATGAGAGGTTATCCAGTGTGCAGCCCAGAGTTTCTCGATGAAAAAATTAGGAAAATATTTCATATTGTCATGAACTGTAGTACCCTAAGGAGTTTGTGGAATCAGCACTGCTGACTGCTAGGAAAACTTATTATAGGGCTGAATCTAGAATGAGAAACTATCTGTCCTGCCGAATGTCCTTAAAATATTTAACATAAAAGTAGTTTTTAAAAATTCATCGACTGTTAAAAGCATTTTGATGAGGAATTCTCCTCAACATTGTGTTGGAGTGTTCACAGAATTGGATGCAATGGTTGCAACTTATTTTATGTGGGACAGACTGGAAAACCTGTAAATGTCAGGATATCACAACACCAATATTCAATATGAACTGTGCAGGAGTTAAATGCAATTTTCAGCCATATTAGAGTATGCAATAACTCTGCAAATTAGTCAGAAGCCAGAGTCATTGTTCCTTGCTTCACTTGTCTTCAATGAAATATTCTGGAATTGGCAATTATAAAACATGATAAATGTTCATTATACATTAACATTGGCATCTTATTCAAACTTGATTTATTTATAATTGAGCCTAGAACCAGACTCCTATAAGAATGCTTAGGAATGTCTTAAGTGTTGTAGTTCTACACCAATGAATTAGAGTCCAATTTCTGCTTGTTTTTGATGGTTAAACCTGAATCTGCCACGAGTCTTGTGGGACTGATAAATTATGGCCTTCTCCCTGTGGATAAATTACAGATGTTTTAGCTTATTTTAAGTTAGTTGGTCATAGACCTGCTTATAAGTGAACTGAAATTCCTAAGACAGTTGCCGGATTGATCTATATTCAGAAATAAAGTCTTTTACATCATATCGAAGTCTAACAGAATTTTTGATTACTGTTATGTCACTAATGTTATGTTCATTAAGTCCTTTCTATAGTAGGCTGACTGTCTTCTAATGCTTTAATATTCAGTTGTTCTGGTACTGGGCACTGGTGTACTTGGGTCAATTACCATATCCTGCCACCCTTACTTCACTGGAGCAAAATACGTTCCCCTGAACAAATTTCCTCTGAATTCTTCCTCTTTTCTGCAGCATTGCAAGCTCCTGATGATGTATTGATTGCAACACGAAAGGCCTAGAACTATCATTCAACTCCCCTGTGGAGGTAAATGATAGATCTAGCTTGTTCACGATTATTGCACAATATATATATATATATTATATATTATATATATATATATATATATATATATATATATATATATATAATCTCTTTCAACAAACTGGCCATATCCCATCAAGGCAGGGTGGCCCAAAAAGAAAACGAAAGTTTCTCTTTTTAAATTTAGTAATATATGCAGGAGAAGGGGTTAGTAACCCCTTCCTCCCGGGATTTTAGTCGCCTCTTACGACACACATGGCGTACCGAGGAAAAATTGTTCCAGTTCCCCATGGAGATAAGAGGAAATAAACAAGAACAAGAGCTAGTAAGAAAATAGAAGAAAACCTGGTGGGGTGTGCATATACATGTCTGCACATGCATGTGTAGTGTGACCTAAGTGTAAGTAGAAGTAGCAAGACACACTTATAATCTTGCATGTTTGTGATACAAAAAAAAGACACCAGCAATCCTGCCATCACGTAAAACAATTACAGATTTCTGTTTCACACTCACATGGCAGGATGGTAGTATGTCTCTGGGTGGTTCCTGTCTACCAACCTACTACCAAAGCACCTGGAGTTTACCTGGAGAGAGTTCCGGGGGTCAACGCCCCCGCGGCCCGGTCTGTGACCAGGCCTCTATAGCTGGACTGGGGACCCTCATCCTCAGAGAAGACAATAAACGTACCTCAGGGAAAACTCAAGGTTCTCCCCGGAGCTGTTTGAATATTTTCTTCTCCTACCACCCCTTATATTTTATATTCTACGTGAACATTTATTAATAAACAGAATGCATTTACAGAGAACACAAACATGAATACAATTGTACAATGTATTAAAGATCATGAATTTCCTCCAGTTCCTCCGAAGCCAGATTTGAGCCAAGTATGCATCAAGCATTTCCCCTCTTGATGGCATGCTGAGGTGCTGGGAACATGAAGGTGACTGCCCTTGGGTCCCTTGTGGTTTGTCAAATGAGTCTGGAAACCAATTCTTGAAGGAAAAGTGTGGCATTTTTTTATCCATGATCCTAAGGTCTCTGATCCACTGAGGACAAATTGGATCTGTTGGCTTAGGTACATGTACTTGCCCAATTTTTCTTGTACTCCTCCATGTTGTTCAGCAAGTCCTCCTGTCGCCCGACACTGTGCATGGATTTAGGTGTCAGCCAGTGTGGACACACAGGTTAGTCCCATGCTAAAGCTTGCCATTTACTTCCAGGATAGATGATCCCGTCGGGGGCAGTTTGCTGGGTTGTAGTTTGTTGGCTGCTAGTGTCGGCGGCTCCCTCTTGCTGGGTAATCAGGCTTGGTAGCAATGGGTTCTCTCAATGATGTCGTTGACATCATTGTGTCTTGCATGCCAGCCCTTGGTTTTGGAACAGTTAAGTCCATGTAGACATATTGGTCTGCTTGCGCTTCACTGCAAATACACATATATTTCTGTATGAATTGGGGAAGCAAGGAGAGAGCCACTGCCAATATGGATGGTCTTAGGTCGAGTCGTTGTTACCATTGCAATATTGGAAACTGGAGGAAGTCCCATGAGTGAGATGTGCCTCACAGATGGAGACAGGCAGTCTCCCTATATGATGTTGCAGACCTGAGCATGTTGGCAGCACCTTTTCAGCGATTCAAGACATCCCACTTGGACTGTTTGTGAGCCATGCTGCCATAGGGTTTGGTGCTGGTGCGAGCAGCAGCGTCTCTTTCGGTGTGATGGCCTGGGTTATAGCTAGGGGTTCTGCATTTCCTGCTGAGCGTCACTGAGGTTTGTTAGGGAAGAATTTGTCATATCAGCTCGTTTGATGCTATGGAAAGAGGAATAGGATAGCTGGTAGAGGCAATCTGGAGGATCTTGCATACTCCAGCCCCCCCCAGGCCTACTGACCGTAAGTGAGGCTGTGCAACCCACTGTCCATCTTAAGATAAATAAGATAACGATTTAGTTCGGAAATTTATTTTTAACCCCGGAGGGATTAGCCACCCAGGATTAACCCATAAAGTCAGTGCGTCATACGTGGACTGTATAACTTATTTCCATTGGGGTACATTAATCTTGTCCAGGGGATGCGACCCACACCAGTGACTAAACACCCAGCGCTACCTATTTGCTGCTCTAGCGGTGAACAGGACAACAGGTGTAAGCCAAAACGTGTCGAATGTTTCCACCCGCCGGGAATCGAAACCGGGCCCTCCGTTGTGTGAAAGCGGGAGCTTTAGCCACAGGCATACCCGGACATGGTCTTAAGGAGACGTCATATTCTTGAGGGGCCCATAATCCCTTTAGCACCTGAACTTTTTATTTTTTCTTCTTTTTCGTTCATTTTTTTTGTACATAAAAGAAGCACCTTTCTATTTTAATGTGACCAAGTTTCAATAAGAAGCTCAATAAAAACATCTGAGGGAAAAAAAAGTAATTAACTTATTTTTTCATACTTATTGCCAAGTTATTGCACGGGTTCTGTCGAGGTGGGACTTGGAGAAGAAGCTGTTTTGGACATTATCTCGCATAAAACAATGCTAAACTGTAATTATCGGGCAACTTTACTGTTAATTTTATCCCGTCTTCAGTCTTAAAAAATCTAAAGTTTGTATGGTTTGTCATTCAGCCAAAATTTATCTGACTTTGCCCTCACAAAATTAAAAAACAAATTATAATCAAAATTGTAATCTGCAGTTTGTAAAAACAATCTTTCTTTTATGTTGTCTGTGAATTTCAATTGCATTCCTTAATATTATTAACGACAGTACGGCAATATTTATGTAGAAATAACCTACTTCGAGATAATCCGCGAAACAGACGGACCACCGTTTTTTTTTTTTCCGAGGGGGAAGGAAAATAGCATTTTTTCAGGTTTATACTATATTACGAGTGTTATATCATAGTTACCATGTACGGTTTCTTTAATATAAGGACATGGAGGTGAAAGAAGGAGAATGGAAGCCATCCCTTATCTATTGGATTGAATCTTTTATTCCCGAAGGGAACGCTCTAGGAATTTATATGCCATATATTATTCATTCTGAAGAATTTACCATATTTCTTTTGTTATTTATATTGTTTATCCCCCTAATCTCCTTATCTAGATCAATATTGTGATAGATAATTAAGCCTAGAAGAAGCGATAAATAGGTTTATATTGAAAGCATTATTCCCCCGGCCCATCACCTCGAGACTGGAATTTTTCAATGACGTTCAGCAATATGTTCCAGAAGTTCCTGATGGCTTGTAAGTCTACGTATTAGTCCCACCCACTTCTTATTACGTGCCCAAACTCCCGTCAATTATTATCTTAGAAACGCAATTAATACAATAAATACACCAAAGAAAATAGGAAAAAAAAACATGAAAATGAGGACATGCCCCCTGAGCAGACCCCCCTGCGCACGGGTCGCGCCCCTGAGGATCACCCTAGGTGTTTTAACAATGACTAATAAATTCCTTGTAGGAATGTCGTAGAACAATGATTCTCTGTTACCAGTGACTCTGGTGGCCAATGGTGGTAGTTAACGCTCTCGCTTCCCCGCCCACACACGGCCCCCCCGCCGTGGGCCGGGCGTTCGTTCCCAGCCAGAAGTAGGATAGATAAATTGGACGTGTTCTTTCCACCTGTTGTCTATGTTACCATCAATTTTTTTTTTTTTTAAAATGGGTACCTGGGTGTTAGTCGACTGGTGTGGGTTCGCATCCCTGGGACACTGGAGTTTACCTGAGTTTACCTGGAGAGAGTTTCGGGGGAGGCCCCCCCCCCCGCGGTCAACGCCCCCCACACAAAGCCACGGCCCCCGGTCTGTGACCAGGCCTCCTGGTGGATCAGCCCACCTGGATCATCCAGGCTGTTGCTGCTGGCTGCCAAGCAAACAAACGTACGAGCACACAGCCCCCCCCCCGCCCGCTGCCATCCCAGGCCCCATTCTGATCTTTTGGTCTTGTCCAGTGCACATCGATTGAAGATTCCAGGGGTCTGCTATGGTAATCCCCCTTGTGCTGGGAGGCAGCTTTTATTGAACTAGTTCTCTGGGCCCCTGACACTTTATGTATGGTCTCTTAACGTGCTAGTGACCACCCCTGCTTTTCATTGGGGGGTTGGTGCATCGTCTGCCAAGTCTTTTGCTTTCGTACCGTGAGTGAATTTTCGTGTCTGCAAAGTTCGGTTATAGTCCCTCTTAGGATTTTCCATGTGTATATAATCATGTATTCTCCCTCTGTGTTCCAGGGAATACAGTTTAGATACCTCAAGCGCTCCAGTAATTGAGGTGTTTTATCTCCCCGTTATGCGCGACCATGAAAAGTTCTCTGTAATTTTTCTAGGTCGGCGAATTTTCAACCTGCCTTTGAAAGGTTGCTGTTAGAGGTGCAGCAATATTACAGCCTAAGCTACCCTAGACACACAGCATCCCCACCCCTCCACCCCCCCCCGCCCTCCCGTGACCTGAAGAGTGCTCCTCGCACATGGGTTGGCCCCCCCCCCCACCCATCCCTAGGTTTTGAAGGGTTCTCATTATCAGCGCCACACTCACTCGCCCCAATCCCCGCCTCATTTCTTCCTAGCACCCCCCCCCACGTCGACCCTCATGTTATGTTCTTGAAAGGTGGCGAGTTCCTCCGACATAACATCCCAGGTCTTTGACGTTTGGCTGTTTCGCTCTTTTTTTGTGGCCAGATTTTGTTTTTGTACTCTGATTGAAGATTTAATTTCCTCATGTTTACCCATATCTGTAGTAATTGAAATTTCTCTATCGTTGAACTTCATATTGTTTTACGCAGACCACTGAAAGATTTGGTTGATGTCTGCCTGGGCTTTGCAGTGTCTGCAATGGAAGATCACTGGTCATGCTGTCTTCGGAGTGACATTCCTGCAAAGGAAGACTCGGTGCTGTGGCTGACCCTCTTGTCTATGTCAGATTTGAGGATGGAGGAACAAGATGGGAGCTAGTCTGTGCCTTGTGGAACAGAGCTTTTCAAGTAGATGCCGGATTTACTCTGTTGACGACTACTCTCTGTGTTCTGATAGTGAGGAATTTATAGATCCATCGACCGACTTTTCCTGCTTATTCCTTTAGCACGCATTTTGTTCGCTATTAAGCCATGGTCACACTTGGCGAAGGCTTTTGCAAAAGTCTGTATATAATTACATCTGCATTCTTTTTGTCTTCTAGTTGCATTTAGTACCTTGTCGTAGTGATCCTATAGTTGGACAGAAGCGAGCGACCAGTTCTAAGCCATGTTGCCTGGGTTGTGTACCTGATGGGTTTTCTAGATAGGTGGTGATCTTGCTTCTTAGGCCCTTTCAAAGATTGGATCTTTATGAAATGGGATTTAGTGTTTGGTCTGTAGTTCTTTGCTATTGCTTTACTGCCCCTTTGTGGGTGGGCTATGTCTGTTGTTTTTTAGTAAACTGAGGGAGTCCCCGTGTCCATTGCTCCATCTCTCCATTGGATGGAAAAGAGCTCGTGGATAGGGGCTTCTTGCCCGAAAAAATTAACGGAGCATTAACAAGGGACTTTCTATTATAGTAGTATGTCATTGTTTGTCAGCTAGGACTGTATACCCTGATAACATGTACTTGTAGTAAAATTAAAGATATTATTATTAATTAATATTTTTTCAATATGATTAACTAAAATTTGTGAATTTTTTCGAAATTTCTGTCAGTCGCGACTGAGTAATCTCTAAGGGCCCTTGAGTTTTGGAGTGCTGAAGGATGGTTAGCTGCTCAGGAGTAAGTTTTTGGGATTGACAGGCACCTGGTGAGTAAGATAAGGCATATGTTCGTCAATGTCTTTCATCCTGGCTTTCCATGTCGGGGTCTGAGACTTTTTTCTAGGGATCAGATCAATGGCATTGGACCCAAGAGGCAGCACCAAGGAGAGTGCTGTTGGCTGGAATCAATGGCTCGTGCTCCTGGTTTAATACGGCCTTAATATTCTGGATCAACTGTTCGATTGTTAGAACTCTTTCACAATTCTGGTGGGCGTTTAAAGATAGGATCAGGCATCTCTCCCATGCTTTTAAATTTTACTGTGTCCTCTAGGAGAGTTCTGTTGTGCCAGCTAGGGTTCCATCATCACGGAACCAGATATTGACCTCACTGGAGAAGTGCTTCTGTGACTTCCTTGTGAACAACAGATGAAAAGAAATGGGGCGAGATTCCCTGTTGCAATCCTCACATGAGTCAGTTTCATTGTCCCCAAACAATAGTTTGTGATGTTACACTATAACATAATTCTATGAAGGGATAAAGGGAAGGGAAGTGTTTCTATAAACTGCTTGGAGAGCAGCATCCCTTCTGACTGAGTTGAAGCATTGGAAAGTTCCAATTGACCAAGGCTTTTTCATCCGACATATTGTTGATATACTCTCGTATGTGTGGGCCGTTGCTTCACAGCCCTGTTGAACGCCTAATCCGGCTGGTTGGTTTCAACATTGGCAGCAGGCCTCTTGGACTCACCCTTCTTACTGCAGCCTTGGGACTAAGTGCCGAAGGGTGGTTGCACTGCAATAGGCCTGATTCTGCCATCCTTTTTTCCGGAGGGCACAAAATGAAGGCACAAAAGGGTCTGAGGCCTCTGGGACACTTGCCAGCCAGGCACAGGTTGGAAAATTTGGTGAGTTCAGACAGCCGCTCTCTGAAAAACAACACCAGTGCTGGACTGATTATTTGTTTTTAAGTCGTGAGGCTCTTAAACCGGTGAAACCTCCTGCTGAGCCTTGTGGAAATGACATAGCTCGCTTTATACACATCAGCATCGTGTAAAAGTGTTAGGATATTTTCTTCGCCTGGCTTGCAATGTCAGGGATGTCAAAGGTTGGAAATTGGAACCCTAGGTAGATGTTTGTCCTTCAGAGGCTTGCGCCATGCTGACGTCCTTGGGAAGCAATGGTTTTTTCTCACTGGTTATAAGCCTTCAGAGCTCCAAGTTTTACCCTCTTCTTTTTTTTTTGTTAATTTTGGGCTCTGATTTTTGAGGCGTCGGGTTGTCTTGATGTTGTTGGCATTTGCCCAGTGGGTGGGCCCGGTGGCTGGTGGATAAAGCTCCCGCTTCAAACACGGGGGCCCGGGTTAGATTCCCGGCTGGTGAAACATTTCGACACGTCTTCCTTACACCTGTTGTTCCTGTTCACCTAGCTAGCAAATCAGGTACCTGGGTGTTAGGTCGATGAGTGGTGCGGACGCATCTGGGGGACAAGATTTAAAGGGACCCCAATGGATTAAGTTAGACATCTCGATGAAGCACTGACTTATTCTTGGGTTATCCTGGGTGGCTAACCCTCGGGCTCGTTACAAAAATCCGAACGAAATCTTATCTTATCTTATCTGTTCTCGCCTAGGGGGGAAAACGGACGAGTTGTCATTCCCCTTGGGAAAAGCATTTAATGCCCTAATACTGTGTTGCTAGTGACTTGTCCCTCCTTGGTGGGACAGCCCAAACAGGCATTGTCAAAAAGGAGCAGGGTTTTGCCAGGATCTGTATTTGAAGGAGCATCGTTGACTTTTCTTCAGAAGGTCAGTGAATTATGTAGCAGCTTGAGGGCGAAGCTGCTTTGGGAGATGTGGTCAGAGTCCTGGTTGGATGTTTATTTGATTGCAGATTTGAGCGTCCTCTTGTAGAGGTGAAGTCTCGGTCAGCTGTCAGCACTGTCTGCTGGGAGGGGCTGTTGGTTTGTTCTCATTTGGAGCTCTCTGGAGCCTAGACATCCATTGTGGGCACGGATGTTGCCAGTTGAGGGATTGAGTTGCACCATTCCCTGTAGCACACCGGCAGATGGCCACTCGTGAATGAAGCTTTGGCTCTGTTTTCCCCGTGAAATTCTGGGAACCTGCGACTATTGTGACATTGCTGATATTGGTGGGTGGTGGGAGGGGCACCAGTGTGAGGTGACAGTGGGTGGACCGCATGAATGCAGGAGGATGGGGTGGGGGGAGTAGCGAAGCGGCAGAACTGTAATTGGTGGGACACTAAACAGGCAACAACTTGGTCAAGGAAGGCAGTGGGCTAGGCTTGGATGACGGTGTGAGGATCAGCGTTGGGAGCAGAGGAGTGGCCCATGTGTGTTCACTCAAGATGCTCAGCACTAACTTTTGCTAACTGTTATACACTTATTATCCATTTAGGGAAAAACCCTTGCCATTTGGCACACTAATCACCATTCTCTACTATTAACAGAGGTGTTCTTCTGTTTCAGTACCGATGAATGATGATGTCGTGAGCGACACTTCCTCCCCAACCCTGAACCCAGCCGGACCAGAGGGTAATCAAAACTCCTCCACATACCCCTGGCAGGGATCCTCCACCACCGCTACTCCCCAAATCCAACATGACACTTCACTTTCACTGATACAGAAGGCAACGGGTCCTGATGCAGAGGATTGTCACAACTCTGTAATCTTCGGTGGATTACTCACGTTAATGTCTGCCGAAACTGGCTCATGTAAACCTGTTGGTTTCTTGGTTTAACACAAAATGAATGGAGCACCATATACTGGCTCCCTCCTCCACCGCGGCAAGAGTATGTGTGTGTGTGTGTGTGTATATATATTATATATATATATATATATATATATATATATATATATATATATATATATATACAGGAAGGTATACCTTCTAGAAATTGATGGGGACCCTCATCCTCAGAGAGAAAACAAATAAAACATTAATCAGGAAAACTCAAGGTTCTCCCGGAGCTGTTTGAATATTTTCTTCTCTACCATCCCCTATATTTTTAAGCACATATGTACTTTATTAATAGACAGAATACATTGTTAGAAAACACAAAGCATGACTACATTGGTAAAATATATCAAAGGTTCTGAATCTCTCCTGCTCCTCGAAGGCTGGACGCGAGCCCAGTATGCAGCATGCATTTACCCTCTGGAGGGGCCATGCCTGAGGTGCTGGACATGAAAGCTGGCTGCCCTTGGGTCCCTGGTGGTGTCGAGTGAGTCTGGAACCGTTTCTTAAGGGAAACGTATGGCATGTTTTCATCATGATCCCAAGGTCTCTGATCCCACTGGGACAAATTGGATTTTTTGGCTTATGTCCCGGTACTTGCCATATGTACTCCTCCAGTGCCCGTCAGCAGCTCTCTCTGTCGCTCGACACTGTGATGGATTTAGGTGTCCGCTAGATTGTGGACACATAGGTATAGTTCACCATGCTAAGAGCTTTTCCATTCTTCCATGGATCAGTGGTGATCCCATTGGAGCAGTAGCAGTTTGCTGAGTTGTGGGTATTGTTGGCTGCTAGTGATCGTGGCTCCATCTTGGCTGGGCATCCAGATGTAGCTGGATGATATCGTTGACCTTATTGTTGTCTTGCATGCCAGCCTTGGTTTCGGAACGATGAGACCATGTAGACCATATTGGTCGGCAAGTGATCGCTGCATTACACGTAATGTTCAGGGAGTAATAAAACAAATTCCAGCCACACAAATAGATCTGATAAATTAACGTCAAAGACCTGGGAGTGATCATGTCGGAGGATCTCACTTTCAAGGACATATATTGTATCAATCGCCACCTGCTAGATAAATGACAGGATGGATAATGAGAACCTTCAAAATTGGGATGCCAAGCCCATGATGACACTATTCAGGTGCGCTTGTTCTATCTAGGCTGGATTGTTGCTGCACACTACATACCTTTCAAGGAGGTGAAATTGCTGACCTAGAAATGTATACAGAGGAACCTTCCTCGGCATGCATAACAGGAGATAAAACACCTCAATTACTGGGAGCACTTAAAGTTCCTGAACTGTACTCCTGGAACACAAGGCGGGAGAGATACATGATTATATCACCTGGAAAATCTAGAGGGACTACCGAACTTGCACACGAAAAAATCACTCTCTCCGTAAGCCAAAAGACTCGGCGACGATGCAAATCCCACCAATGAAAAGCAGGGATGTTCTAGCACGCTAAGAGACAACCAGTAAGTGTCTGGGGCCCGAGGGGCCTGTTCAACTGCCATCCCAGCTACACAAGGGGATTACCAATAGACGCCTGGCTGTCTTCAAGCCAGGCACTGGACAGGCACCTAAAGTCGGTACCCTGACCAGCCTGGGCTGTGGTTAGTACTTTGGATTGCATGCAGCCAGCAGTAAACAGCCTGGTTGATCAGGACCTGATTCCACCATGAGGCCTGGTCCAGACCGGGCCGCGGGGGCGTTGAACCCCCGGAACTCTTCCAGGTTAACTCTCCTGAGTGAGGTGCGCTCACATCAGGAGACGGGCAATCCTTTTTAGCGATGGGCCATCCCAGTGTGACTGTAAGCCAGTGCTGCACATAGGGTTTTGTGTCGGGAGCAGTTAAGGAGGCTCCTATTCGTGTGCGATGGCACGGGCATAGTTAGGGCCCTGTATTCCTGCTGAGTCACTGACGTGGTTAGAAAGCATTTGTCTTAACTCACTTATGGCTATGGAAGAGGATAGGAATGCTAGTAGGGGCAATTCTGGGAGGATCTGTAATTCCCAGATGCTACCAAGGCCTGACCGGAAGCGAGGCTGCGACCATTGCCCATCTTCAAGGAAGATTCAATACACTCTCTAGCATGGTCTTAAGGAGAGAGTCCATTCTTAGGATTTTTTTGGACGTGAAAAGGCTGGGGGAGCATCTCTGGAAGTAGTAAGTTTTGGGATTGAACAGGCACCTGGGTGAGTAGGTAGAAAGGCATCATGTGTATACAGTGTCTTTCATCCCTGCCTTCCGTAGTCCGGGGTCTGAGATTTGTTTTTTTTTTTCTAGGATCTGATTCGATAGCACTGGACCAAGAGGAGCGCCAAATGGAAGGAGTGCTATGGCTGGATCAATGGCAGAGGAAAGGTTTATTCCCAGGGTCCCCCCACAGAAATAATGGGAAGAATCAGAGAACGAGCTCGCGTTTACCCTACGGTGTAAGGAGGCCAAAAAACTAAGCGCAATAGATGGGGGATGATGGAAAAAAATACAGAAGACATAAAAGACATGAAATATAGGGAGATTATTAGCAATGCCAGGAACGAGTATGCACAGTTAAGGGGGGTGGCCTGCTTCAGTATGAAAAATAACATAGTCATCGAAAGTCAAGTTGACCTGAACACTGTTGTATAGCCCAAAATCAGGAGGAAGACAACCAGTCAAAGGGGGGGGGGGGGACAGGTTGATCAGGCTGAGAACAGAGGTAGGGAAAGGAAAACTCACAAGATAACGATCAGGGAAGGAATGTGAGTAGCTAAACGGTGATTTAAGGAAGTTTTAAGTAATGAGACGAAAGGAGCTCTGGAAGGACAACTCAAGAGGAGCGAACATCAACAGGACATATAACAACAAGTGTTTGGGATGAACATACGAACAACTGAGGAGGAGTGCAGAAGTGCTAAGTGACTTGATGACTCAAAGGCAATGACACTGGACATTCTCCCCGTGGGTCCTTAGGGAAGGAGGCTGAGACGCTGCGCGTGCCCCTTAACCACAATCTTCTAAATACATCCCTTCAAAATGAGCAACTACTGAGAATATGGAATAAAGAAAGGCAATGTAAGTCCCCATTTTTAAGAAAGGAGACAGAAAAGAGGCTCTAAACTAAAAGACCAGTGGTCTCTGATAGTATGCAAAGTCATGCGAGAAGATTATCAGGAGAGTGGAATGGAATGCACCTGCAATGGAACAGATCATTAATGACAACCCAAACCTAGTGTCACAAACCTTATGGAGTTATATGATAAGGTAAAGAAGAAACGCAGAGGAGAGAGGAGTGGGTGGATTCATTTCCCTGGACTGCGGAAGGCCTTCGACCAGTTCCACAGAGATTAGTGCAGAGAAGCTGAGGATCAGGCACGTAATAAAGGGCAAGGCATGCAATGGATCAGAGAATATCTGACAGGGAAGGCAACAACGAGTATGGCTCTGGAAGAGTAATCACAGTGGGCCGCCTGTGACGAGCGGGGGGGGTTCACACAGGGTCAGTTCTAGGACACAGTGCTATTTTTTTATATTTGTGAATGACATGATGGAAGGGAATAGACTCTTAAGTGTCCGTTCGCAGACGATGTGAAGTCGATGAATAATTATTAAAATCAGAGAGGATAGGCCAGAGATTACAAAGGAGACTGGAACAGATGGGACATGTCGTCCAGAAATGGCTACTCGAATTCGACCCTGTCAAATTGCAAGTTCATGAGATTGGGGAAAGGGCAAAAGACGACCACAGACAGAGATATAGGCTAGTTGACATAGACTGCAACACACTCAAGGAGTAAGAATTTGTGGGTGACCATAACACCGAGCACGTCTCGGAGAGCACCATCAAGCAAGATAACTGCTGCAGCACATGGGCGCCTGGCAAACTCTGAGAATAGCGTTCCGAACCTTAGTAAGGAATCGTTCAAGACACTGTACACTGTGTACGTCAGGCACGTACTGGAGTATGCAGCACTGTTTGGAACCACACCTTGTCAAGCAACGTCAAGAAGTTAGGAAAGTACTAAGGTTTGAACAAGCTAGTTCCAGAGCTCCTAAGGGAATGTCCTACGATGAAAGGTTGAGGGAAATCGGACTGACGACAAGGAGGACAGAAGGATCAGGGGAGACATGATATCGGCATGCAAGATTACTGGTGGAATGAGGATGGAATAAATAAGGTGGACAAAGACAGGATGTTCCAGAGAGGGAAACACAGAAACAAGGGGTTCACAATTGGAAGCTGAAGACTCAGACGAGTCACAAGGATGTTAGGAAGTTTTCTTCATAGTCGTCAGGAAGTGGAATAAGCCTAGCAAGTGTGTAGTGGAGGCAGGAAAACCATACATGCTTTAAGACGAGGTATGACAAAGCTCAAGAGCAGCAAGAGAGGGAACCTAGTAGCTATCAGAGAAGAGGTGGCAGGAGCTTAGTCTCTACCTTGCAACCACAATTAGGTGGACTGCACAATATAGGGGAGGTGTGTACTCACTAGTTGAGGTTGCAGGGGTCGAGTCCGAGCTCTGGCCCCGCCTCTTCACTGGTCTCGCCTAAGGTCACTCTCCCTGAACGTGAGCCTTTATCCATTACCTCCGATTAAAGGCTATGTTACGGATTCCTGCCTCCACTACATCACGACTTCCCAAACTATTCCAGTTCTTGGACTACTCGGTGACTGAAGAAATAATTACCTAACATCTGTGATTCATCTGTTGTCTTCAACTTCAAACTGTTCCCCTTGTGCTGTGTCCCATCTCTGGAATCATCCTGTCTTTGTCCACCTTGTCAATTCCCTCTCAATATTTTGTATCTCTGTTATCATGTCCCTCTATCTTCTCCTTCCTCCAGTGTCGTCAGGTCGATTTCCTTTAACCTCTCCTCGTAGGACATACCCCTTAGTCTGGGATACTCTTGTTGCAGAACTTTGCACTTTCTCTAGTTGTGTTACGTGCTTAGGTTAGCGTGTGGGTTCCAAACTGGTGCCGCAATACTC